AGAAGGAGCGAGCGATAGGCAGAGGAGGTGCCTTTGCAGCGCGTGCGCACATGTGGCAGTCTTCTTTGCGGGGATGCACTTTCATTCTTTGTACTGCCTTCAAATACGCCCTTCTCATGAAGGTGGAGGAATGGAGCGACTGAACCTGCAAAGAAAATTTAATATCATTTTTTTTCAGATATTTTCATTTTCTGCTGCGCTATACCCTCTTACCTATCTGCACCACGATACCACTGCTGTTACTGACCCCAAGAGTACGACCCCCCATGACCCAGCCCGACAGGTACGACCCCCCTGTCGAGGATTTCCTCGACCGATATTCACCCTGGTGGAAGGGGGCCAAATGCTATTGGTGGGCGGGGCACGCACCGAAGTAGGCGGAGTTTGCCACGAGATTTATTGTCCGGAAGCAGTCCGGAGACCGAGAAAAAGAGGATAATGGTTGACGAAGAAAAAGAGGTTGAAAGCCGTCGATGATGGAGCGGATAGAATTTAGCTGAGAATTCAGATATTCGTGGTGTATCAAGCCAAATTTGAAAATTTTCGTCGCACCATCAAAATTCGCCGCAGATCTGTGTTGCGCGCGCAATGCGTGCGGCGCCAACTGGTACATAAATATTGGTACCTCTTCATGAATGCATTTTTTCACGTATGACAATTTCAAAACTACTTTGGTGTTTAAAGATTCTCCTCTTTCAGATGCAGAGCACGTAGCAAAGCCAGAGGTTTCGGTTCGCAAGCTGCTCACCAAGAAAGGCTTCTTATTCTGCATCTAACTTTGAGGGACCTAGTCAAAATTATAAAGCCTGGAATACCGGCTACAAATATGAAGTTCAAAGCTGCTACGTCGACCTATGGCTTTCGAATTGCTGCCGGATGTCGCCAGTGCCAAGAGTAGATGTCATATCCGTAATCACAACAACAATCACGTAATCGGTTTTCCTTGAAAGGTGGCTTTCACCAAATACGTCATATAGCAATCTAGCATCCATGAATAGCTTTGACGATCCATAAACAGTTTTGATTTCCACAATTGTAACCAGCCTTCCAGCCCTATCGATTTACAATTCACCTAGGTTCATGTTCAAAGCTCCATGGGACTCTCAAAACCTTCCCGGGACAGATGAAAAATACATCATTTATTCCCGAACTTTTCCACAGGAAATTTCCGTTTTATGCGTCACTAAAAACCATCTCGCTCCGAAGTTATTCCCGCTGTGGTATTCACAGTTACCACTGCGGTTATTTAGCAGGCTACTTATTGTTCCAATACCTGTGCTAATACAAGCTCTACAACAATTTGGATTGCCAACACTACAGCTTTTCGAACTTTATAGCCGTTTTGGTAAAGCCACATAATCGACATTACCACACCTTCTTGTGACAGCAAACCCCCTACTGATCTATGATGCAAATTCCGCCCGCGTCTTTGTTTGGAGGCAACCACGATGGATTAATTGCTACAATCCTCGTGCAAGAGACTACAGGTCACGCACTTCCAGTCAGGCAGTCACTTTAGGGATTCATTTGTTGAACACTCACGCCTGAACAATCGACAATCGTGGTGGGGTCTTACAAATAGATCGTATACGACCACCATGCTGTAACAGAATATCGCTTTTCGCGGACTCTTTCTTCTCGTTGCTCGCATCCTCGCGCCAGCTATTTCTTATATTGCTGTTTGCCCGTTATCATTAGAGTCTCTGCAGCTTAACGAGAAGTCTCGTGTCGAAGTCCGATGAGTTGTTTCCCTCTCCACAGGTATTCAGATTCCGACTCTTGTGCTCGAATGTGACCGCATCTCCTTCATCGATAGGTTATTCGTTATGTTTTCTCTGTGCGCAACCTGGGGTAGCGCCGCAGCATTAGTCTGAAGGCATGACACGCTTCCTACGTCGGAGACTCAGCTTTTGATCGGTTCATCCCACTAGCCCTCGGCCGCCCGCATCGCCTCGCATTCAACTTTGTGGAGACTTGCACGCGATAGGAAAAAATGGTGGTCGTACTGCACTATCTATTGCAATTCTGCAGCGGAATGGATATGCTGTGGCGATCCAAATAAACAGCCAAAGCGGGATGCTTGACGCTTTGCAACATGATGTTTATCTGCTTGTAGGACTGGGGACTATGAGGAAGGAATGGATTCTGGGCGGACGTGTGCAAGCAGCTGTTCTCCTAGGCGTGTTTCCCGCTCTGGCTTTGTTGAGCCCATCGCGTGTCTAAATGCTCTGTTCTGATGTGTCCACCCCCCGTCAAAGGACATGGGAGCGTGCGCTCCTTCGAAGTTGGACTTTAAGATTTCAATCGGAAAGTACTTCCAAAATTTCGCAAAATTCATTGAATCTCCAACTTTCCAAATTTGTTCCAAATCGTAATAACTTCGTATAGCATACATTATACGATTCCTGTTACGAAGTTATACGAAAAGAGCTCAGAAGCGGCATTTCAGGAATTTCATGCTATTATTACTACTATTGCTGCTATGTTTCGCCATTTCTGACGCAACTCAGCGCCCTAATCTGAAGTTTCCTGACGATGCAAAGCGTCTCCAGGATCAGGCCGTTCCAGAGACTACGTCGCGTTCGGGACAAGTTGGTGAATGCTTGAGCAATAGAGTCAATGAAGAATCGTTTTTTAGCGTTACCTGAAGAATAAGTGCTTAACATTGAGCCACTTCTTCCGACCCTGTGCGAGACTTTGGAATACTTGGCGGCTCACCGCTCCAGAGAGCAGCCAGTCGACTCCGAATTCGATGTATCGAGTCAACGGTCGTAAAGGGAGCGCCTACAGAGCCGTTCTTTTCACCAATCCAGGATTTATTGGAAAACGGCTTCACAGCTGCTGCTGCTGAACCGATTCGCCATGGATTCCCCACCCTGATCCCAACACAAGTGACAATGGCGCCCATTGAGACGTCGACACTTCCAACCATTATGACGTCAACTCCACCGAAAAATAGGTTTCATTTGATAAGTTGTTTTTGTTTGTTAATCACAATAAAATGGGAGATAATCACCATAAGAAGAGGAAACTTGGCGCTTTCGCGAGACGGGGCATCCTCTAAAACTCAGTCTATGAGAAGGGGGAACTTTAAATAGGGACGATGAAAACTGTTCCACGCACCCTGGAGTTTCCCTCTCTGCGGTTCACCTTTCCTGAGCGGTCCTTCAAACGCAGAAAAGGCGTAAAAGCTCAAGTGCTACAAATTTTCGGCACCAGTTTCAGCAAAAATCTTCTCATATCAATTTATTTTTACTGAGAGTCCTTCTGGTAATGAGGCTCTATTACTGCCGCGGGGATCATTTTGCGCCGATCGAAAATGCAAAACTTTCTTACCGCTGGGAATCGAACTATGGACCGATCGTTGGTCCACCCTTTTTTGGCGTTCAGGGAGCCCCTCAGGGAAAATTAAGCACAGCTCCTTGCACGTGTCTCTACGTAATGCAGGAAACCGTTCAACAGGAAAAGCGAGGTATGACCTAAAAGACAATTTCGTTAGCCTTGTAGTAGTGGAGCATACCTAGCTCCGAAAACGCCACACCTTTGCCAACTGGGTGCCGCTTAACTAGCGCATATAACAGCTCTCGGGTACCCGACAGGAGGCCCGTCGCGCGGCAAGAAGGCAGAGTCAGCGGACGAGTCGCAGCGCGTACTGTAGTGATTTCGCGTCAAGTTAAATAGAATGTACCATTGTACACGTCCTACATCGCACATCACGCGCTGCGACTCGTCCGCTGACTCTGCCTTCTTGCCGCGCGACGGGCCTCCTGTCGGGTACCCACATTTCCCTGGGACAGACCTGCTTTATCGCACTCACTGTTTTTAAGTCATTTTACGGAATGAATTCAACTTATTATCTGCGAAGGGATATTGTTACATTCAAATAAGGAAGTTAGAAGTTATCTTTTCTCTTTATTGTTCTTTCCTTGTTTTCACCCTTTATCACTTTGAAGCTAATATACCAGAAAATTTACATAAAATCAGCAGTAGAGCATTTTGGATTACACGCATAGGAACTGAAACTTATCGATCAAAATGTTCAATACCAATTCGATTCAAATGCAGGTCAGAAGGTCGAATGTCTGGACGGATGATGGACAGTATAAGGGATTGGCGCAAAAGACTCTATCGTGCTTTCAAGTCGACTAAGATAAAATCATCAGGCGGGCGAGTAGTCGACAACAAAATACAGACTCGATCGACCACTTCAGCAAAACCAAGTAGGATCGCTTGTATTTACTTAGAAACACGGCGCAATCTGGCTGGGGGGAGGCCAGCCGCCGCGCGCGGCGTTGCGGCAACAGGAAATTCGTGAGCCAGGGGGAATGTAGCCAATTCAGGGGGTGGGGGTGAGGGCAGTCACTTAGCATGCGTGAGAAGCTGAAATGTCCCGTGAAGAAGCTGGAATGTTCGAGTTACACTACATCGCTGAGCCGCGCACGGCGACTGCCCCCCCCCCCCGAGCCACATTGCGCCAGAAACACTAATTGTAATAGTTGCATTAAAAGCATGAAGAAAGGGAATTGGGTGCTAACTTATGTAGTTGCGGAGGGAGGGGATCGGCCCTTCGTTTGAAGCTGAGGCTTAGTCTGGCGGTCATCAGTAACGAACGCCTGAGGCGGAATATAGTAACAACTAGAAACACGCTCAAACGAACCGCGTTGCTGTTCCCCTCCTCGCCCTCCAAATAGAGTGTCAACGCGAATGACCTGGCTAGAAAAAATCACTGCGCATTAAAAATCGGTGAACTAAAGATCTACTGAATATGCTGCACCAGTTTCTACTCACTAATCGATTATTTAAGGTGAATCCATTTTGAAGGTGAGTCAGCTCTACATAGAAAAAGAGGAATCATTGAAAAATAATGCCTACTACGATAGCCATTATTCCACGGCGCGTCGACTTGCGTGTCGCGCGTGAATGGCGCGCTAGGCGGTCGCACCGTGATCCGTGCTACGCTATGACAAACGAAGGACACAGGAACGGCAAGAAACACAAGTATGGATGGAGAAAAGGAAATTCAAGGAGGTTCTGCTGGAGTCAGCTCTTGCGCAGATGTACCCGTCACCGCATCGTAACCTAACCATGTGCACCCGATCCTCTTAGTTCTTGAATCAGTGGATACGTGATCTGGACGTGTTGATATGGTCGTAGAGATCAGCATCATCCATTGAAGAACCTTTTCCATGAGAAAGCGCCCCGTACCGCGCACAATGCGCTTAGTAGGCCCGGAATCCCGCGTGTATCCTACTGCTCATTGAAGAAGCTAAGGAGAAATTGCATGGAAACTCTTTGTTCCAGCGTTATTCCTTCGAGATTTTTTCAATACCTCTTCTGCGGTTGTCAGGAATACCCATGAAGAAGGGTTGACCGTTCAGGAGATATTTCTCAAGCATTGAGTTACGTTTAGGCTTTTGAGAGACGATCTACGTACCTCAAAGGCCTAAGCGTGACTCAATGCTGAGAAGTGCGTGGGCCGCTGAATAAATTTTCCCACCCAGAAGCCTCTAGAGCATCAAACTAAGTATTTTCTTGGATAAATGTCAGAGGGCTAATGTAATTAGCAGTAACTTCACAAACTGTTTCTATTCAAAGTTTTTTTCGGATAATAAGTCATTCACCACCCACTTTCTCTATGCGCCACACGCGGCAAACGTTTGGTCACGACGCGGCGTCGCGCGGTGACCAATCGGCAAACACGTGACCAATGACAATCTTTCCGTTCCTGGTGTCACTGTATGCAGCCATGGCAAAGCTATACCTTCTAATTGGACGTTCTGCGAAACTGAATGAAAAAGGGACAAGGAGTTATTTTAATTGCTTATATAGTGTGACTTCAGTTCTACTGAATCAGTTACAGCGATTTTAGCCAGTGAAGTTGTGGATTTCAAGGATCTGACTCCTTTAGTGGTCGATAAAAACCGTCAGGTGCTTCTAAGCAGAAAAGAGCCGAGTTGGCAGACAGCGTTGGCAGCCAGGAACATTCAGACGTTCGGAAGGGAACCAAGTGGAAAGGTTCGCTTTTTTCCACTCATGATTTTTTGTTCAGCATTGTCGTTGGGAAGAGTATTTCACACGAGGGTTCCAAACTAGCTGGGAAAAACCACTTTGAATCAGAACAAACCCTAATTTAACACTATCCCGTCTCAGTTTTCAATTCCATACTGCAGCTATGGATCACCGCACGGTAAAGCCTTTAAGACTTTAATGTCCCGGCAAGCGTTTACGAAGGGGTTCTGAGAAAAAGTAGAAATATGTACACCTTCAAAAGCTTGCGCTTTATGAAGCGCGTATTTAGGAAAAAAAGTTTGACCACGCCTCCAAACGCAGCGGACTCAAGACGATGAAGGGAATCTGTGTTATTTGATATATGGACTGGGATTTTTGAGCGCCATCACTCACTTTTTTTCTGAGAACACTCGCTGCAAGCTGAATAAGCGCAGTAACTTTTGCTGGTGTTTTTTTTCTACTTTTTCTTGAAACGTCCTCGTATATGCTCGCAGAAATCTCACGTTCAAGCTTTTCATTACCCGCTCCCTTTTCTACTATGTGGCCGCCATAGAATTATATAAATAACATTAGTTAAAGATCAGCTCGCAAAAAGAAATCAAAGAAGAATATTCCTTTGTTACTCATTTTGTTTCAATTTAAACTGACAAAATGGGAACATTTTCAGCTGATTCGTCTGTTCGGCACTGAAGCGAGCGGCTATCACTCCAAACCACTCAACGACAGTCCACCGGCTGCAGTGCCAAAGTGATTTTCTCACGCAAGATTTTGATTTTTGATCTTGAATTATTTTTCGATAATTTCTTGTGATGCTTGAGATCTTATTTAAATCAAAAAATTAAAATTACGCTGCCCACGAATCCGCGCGCAGCGTAAATTTTAATGAATTAGCTGGGGTCATTCAAATCATGCCCGTCAGAAGGTTCACATATAGCTCGCGAAGAACTTGGGAGTACTTCGACATTCTCGAGATACAACAGGTTCTTCGAAAGCAACACTCACTAACTACTTTTCTGTCACGATCCAAGGTTCCTTATTTAAAGGTTGAACAATTGCCTACTTCGCGGGAACGTTTGCTGGCCCTTTTTGGCATCGAATAATAGCTAGCTGCTCTAGGACGCGCTTCGAACAGCTAACTCTAATTGCCGCGAATTTTATCGCATAAGGACCTTGGTGTGCACTTTTGTCTCAGGTTCGTGTTCCTCCATGAAATTCCTCCCTTTTTTCCTTTTCTTCGTTTCTTCATGCGATGCCCTTTGACGGGTTTTACGCTCTTTTCGAGCCAACAGACAGCGGAGGGATAACCTGTCCACAACCGATTTTATCTCAACTGAGCTGTTTCTAGATTAACTTAAAGCCAGTGAGGTGGTACCTATCAAAGAGTCCCTCCCACAGGTCCTTTAAATTATGGTAGCTGACTAGTTGGCACTTTGATCTTTTTAAAACAGTCATGCACTTTTAGCAGCAGTGCCCATTGTTTACTGTTTATCACACTGAATGCATTTCCTTAATAATGACCGTTGCCTGTTTCATATTCTTTGCAGTGACTATCTACCAATATCACCGCTGTCCACGAATCGAAAATCGTACCGTACTCCAGGAGGCCGAAATGTCGTCTTCATTCCCGCTTCTCACGTCACCATACAACCACCGCCGGTAGATCAGCGTCCATTCAGCATTTCAGTTCACGAAGTAACTGTGAGCATTAGAACCAGCCAGTGAAAAACGTGAACGTAATGACAGCTAGGCAGAGCTACTGTAGCTGCATAGGACTGTAGTCTTGAAAGTTTAAAATACTTATAGTATATTTATTTCAAGATTTTCAGATGACGGCACCGCCTGCTACATTACCGCCATTGGTCACTATGCCTTACCCGCCTACGAACGTACTTCCTGACTACTCATCGCAGTACACTACTCAAGAGCGACCGCAGTACAATAGTTACGGTAACCCGGCGACGCAGAACTATCCTGGTCCTAACTACGTGCCAGCTCCACAAGTGATCACGTTACCTGCACTGGATCCATACACCACTGCACTTCCACCAGCTGACAGCGATTTGGAGGAGACCGACGAGGCCTTTGACTCCGAGGTTGGTGCTGACCCTGAGGTTGGTGCAACTGTAAAATTAGTTCCGGTGCGAAGGGATCAAAAATTCACCTCAATTGCTCCAAGGGACCCCACGTTCAAAACCTTTTAATGCTACATTAATTGCACGGTATAGTTGGCGAACTGTTCCTCCCTATAGATTTATACAAAGAATGTTGGTGTTCAGCAGTCTCTCTCACACCTAGTGGTCTTGCCGGGAGTGGACAGATAGCACTATGAAAAATAATGCCATTTTCATGGATATTCGAGCCAGCTCTGAGTGAAGAGTCAGTGTGTTTATGGAATCTGATGTTCTTTACAACAGTGTAAAAAATTTTTGCGACATTTCCGTTATTCTTTTTTCTTTTTATCTTTAAATTTGCCGACACCACATCCATTTACACTTGGGGCCACGTGCCGGGATTGAATTGGTGTGCTATTTTGTCCGAAAATTAGGCAAAAGGAGTGCGATAAGGAAAGATGAAGGGCAGAAAACCAAAAAATGCCAAAAATGCTAAAACTAGTGGCAATTTTTCTTGTGGGATGGGCTGGTGGGACGGAGGAGAGGCACAGCGCCACGAAGAGAGGGAAAAAGCAAGAGAGCAGTTGTTTGCGAGAGAGACGAAAGGCCACACATGCCGCGATTGATAAGGATGCCAGCGCTGGTATTGGATAAGGCATAACCTTAGGGCCCTAGCTGGACAATTGTGCACTGGAAAAGGCATGGTCGGGATAGTGTCGCGACTCCTGTGGTTGGGAACCTCCCCTTCTCCCTCGAAGAGAAACTGGCTCTTGGTACCTGACCCGACCCGTAACTGTAAAGTAGACATTCAAAATGCTAGCGTTTTCAGGGCATAACAGAAAGATCCTGCGTTCATTCCTCCAATAGAGCAAACTTTCCGCTGGTGTTTTTCCACTTTTGGCATCGAACTCCCCCTTCCCATTTACTGATCCCTTCTAATTGAATCTACATAAGGCACGTACTTCTCGCCCCTAGTGCAATGTGCTCCTTGTTCCCAGAGGAGTCGAGAAGATTCATGCTTATTCGACTCACAGCTGCAGCTGATGCGGAGATAACCCTGAAGCCTCTAAAACGCTCTTATCCCATGTTCTGCAGAAAACCGCGAAGCAAGTATGCAATTATGGTGAAGTGTCATACGAGCTAACCTGCCGAACAGCAGATCGGCTCCCATCAAAGCGGAGAGAGATGCCGACTTCAACAGGCTATCTAGTGTGGGCGTCTTCTACGAAAGAAAGTCGCATGGGTTTCACAAATACGTTCAGTGCCTGCTCTGATTTTACATGTTGATTGCCACTGCTATTGAGATCGACGGTGCTCAATGAAAACACTCCTCCATTCTGTGAAACCTCACGTATTTCCGGAGGCTACGGGAAGCTCACGCTCGACACATTTGAAACTTTGTGTATGTATTGGAAGAGAGTTGGGAGCGATTTTCGGTGAGTGTGGCTATATGACCTCAGTGGGACTTGTAGGTGGTTTTCACGACGTCCTTAACCATCATACGAGCGCGGATGAGGTGAAGGTGAACATTTAATGGACGCGGACTTGGCCGTAGTAAAATTAATAAGCAATCTCTTTACAAATTTAATCAGGGTACACTAAACTGTTTCATTTAGTTACACTATTTTCCATAAGAGTTATTTCCAATAACTGAATTGTTTCAGTGCACAGAATTGAGCTGCGTGAATGGTCAGCTTATCTCGGAGGACAAGTGCAACAGCCTACGATTGAGAACGATCATTCAAAACGTAAGATCTGAACATCACGGATATAAACTGGTCAAGTGGCTATTGCAGGTCCAACTCAATACGTTTTCCAATAGAATGCCTCGACACTATTCAACTATTACAACCCCAAAATCTCAAAATTTTATTTTTCGGCCGAAACTTCGCCCTAGGGGTTATTCGGTGCCCTGATCACGAAAATGACATTCATTTTTGACGTTGGCGCCATCTGGCGCCAATTGGCGCCAGTTGGCGCCAGGGCTATTTTCACCAAATTCGCTGTAAACTTGTATACAGGGGTTATTTGGGGTCCTGATTACGAATATAACATTCATTTGCGCCATACACTATTCTACGGCCCTATTTCGGCTCGTCGGTTCGTCTGCTCGCCCTCTCACTGATTAGCTCGCGATCAAGGACTAAGCCTTTGGGAAAGGAGCGCTCCGAGAGTGAGTAAATCACTCATCCTATGATCTTAAACGCTTCAACATTTGCCACACGTTGCCTGGTTCACCCACCTAGGAACGCCCCTCCTCCTAAGCTTAGTCCGAGGTAATATGTACAAGTGAGAGAGCCCAAGAAAACGGGAAATATGCGTTGAATAGTGCAAATGCCAAAAACGAATGTCATATCCGTAATCAGAACCCCGTAATAACCCTGTATACAACTTTACAGCGAATTTGGACGGAAATAGCCTGGCGCAGATGGCGCCAACGTCAAAAATGAATGTCATTTTCGTGATCAGGGCATCGAATAACCCCTATGGGCGAAGTTTCGACGAAAATTAAAATTTTGAGATTTTGGGGTTGTAATAGTTGAATAGTGCCTCTTGAAAGTACTCTTTGAGTTGTTCCTTTATGGGCTCGAAACTCAAAGACAGTTCATTAGCTTTGATTCAGGGGCCCTTTTCTTATCGTAACTGAATGCAACCCCGCCGATAAGCTGATATCGTTGATATTTGGAAGTAGAATTTTCAAATAGTATGTCTTTGTGTAAAAATCAAAAGAACTATGATAACCCAAAAAGCAAAGCTTTTTGCCCTATGAATCCGGGAGTGAGCTACGTAGTAGTATAGCTAATGTCACCTTGCTCAATCAAAGGCATGCTCTGTGATTAGGCACGCTCACCTGTTCCATCCTCGTAGTAGGCAGGCGGACCAGCGTTGATGTCGCGCCCCTTTTGCGGCTTGAAAGTACAGACAAAGGCGCTAGGAGCTCGCTTGACCCGCAATCCACACCTTCGTCCGCAAGCCCCGCCTCCGCTGTCGGTTGCCACGTGGACGCTGCTTGAAAAGCGCGGGCGCAGTTGGCAGCGGTCCCATTGCGTTCAATGTCATTGGCACTGGAGCAACTGGAGCTAGGTTCGTGAAACTCGTCCAACACCCCTTCTCTATCCCAAGGTGGAATGCGGCTGAAATAGAGGAGGTCTCTGTTCGGGGCGTAATCGGGGGTTTCTCTTGCTTTCTTTTCTTTTCCGGCACGCTCCCACCTTCCAGCTTCATTAACGATGGCTCCTTTACAGCCATTTTATCACAAATGCTTGCGTTTGAAGGAGGCCCCATTAAAACAGCAACCAGAATCTCCTACCGGACAGACTCGCTGACAAGTCACTTAGCAACAACTCCTTCTTTTTACTCACCGGGTTCACCGAGACTGTCCATAATTAATGTGCCTTCGTCGCGTGTTCCACTTGTGCTACGCTATTTACTTGCTATCTTAGTCCTTGTTCTGCCTAACCCAGACGATCAGTTTTCAAAAAGCGATTGGCAGCTTGGCTCCGGTCAATTTCCTACAAATTTTGTTCTATGCGTCAATAAGGCAATCTCTGCGCTTGGCACAATCGCTGCGCCGGGTGGCCATTCTACCTTGTTTACGGGAGTGATTGTTTCATACGGCCTTCTGTGGGTGTGCCTTAATTTCGACTTTTCTATCATAACAGCCCTCCAAGATTAAAGGTTATACACAAATCTTGACGGAATCGAAGCTTCAGAAAGATCGAATCTGTAGAAGACATTTTTCAGAATATTGTGCCAAATGATGCGGAAGCCTCAAAACGAGCTGTACAGTCAGCTGCAGAATCCGAAACTGGACTGTTCTTTGATGCTATTTGTGGCACCGGATTCTTCAGCTATATTGGTAAGTTCCTCAGAAACAGCTTTGTCTGGTTACACAAGTTGTTATTGTCAACTGCTTGGTAAGACGGATGAAGTTACGCGCCATTTGTTCTAAGATACTGGTATTTGACCGTCTTTTTGCTCAACGTGCTTTCGCTGCTTACATGATTGCGTTCCGATGAATGCTATGGATGAATGCACGATTTCTGAAAGAGATGACCTAAATTTTACGGCCCTTTGAGCGCAACCAGACAAGCGAAAGGCTTAAATTTTGATCAACAATTGTTCGGTTAAAGGGCAGAAGTGACCTTCTCACTTGAAGTCTTCGTCTGTTCGCACACTTGGCATTCCTGACTAGGAACGTAGCGAGCTGGTATTCAACAAATCATAGAAATCTCACTTTCTTGAACTCGTGAGCGGAAACCAAGAACCCGTGCGTTTTTTATTCCATAAAAGGATAAGACAGCCAGCTGCAACTGCAACCGAAAAGGGCTCCGCTTTATATCAAGTAAAGAGCTCTCTCATACTTTTTTCTGCGTCCTTTTTTGCGTTCATACTTTTAAATTGTCAGATATCTTGTAAAACTGCAATGTTTTTGTTCAGTTGTGTGACGACTAGGACTAGGCACAAAGCTGAGCAAACTTCACCATTGTCACACCATCTTCTTCCTTTTTCTCCAGCTAGGTTCTGCCCAGGGGAGTATTAGTTGACATACAGAATACAGTATTTTGCTGTAGAATGGCCATAAAAATAAAAAGTGAAAGCTAAAGACAGCGATTACGATAGATTCTGAAGGGTTCACAGGAGAGCTGGGTGCTCACCGGTACGTCAGTGGCGAAAAAAGCAGAGAAATCCGTCGAGAAGACGCGAAAACGGGACCAGAACAAAGAAAAGAAAATGCAAAACGAGACCCTTTTTTTGGCCGTTAGTTTTCACTCATGAGCAGGTAGCAGCTCAGAAAGCAGACGTATGGCGAGTCACCGGCAATGCGTTTGTTCACCTATCATCTCCTAATCTGTTGTACCAATTATGTGGTATGAAACTAGCAGCTTGCTGCGATATCATTCAATCAGGACTATGTGCGGATCGCTTTCGGCGGTGCTTTCGGAGTGCTTGCCATGCCAGCAAACCAGCGCACGCTTCGTAATGAATGGGCTAACACTTCGCGTTCCTGACAGCCAAGTCACTTGATCGTTGTGCTGCATATGCCCCGCCCCCAACCCCCCCCCCAATCGGCGCTCGCTCTGCATCGTAAATTGCTTCCTTTAGCGTGCCTTGTCATGCCTTCGGAAATCCGCAATTACTTCTTATCCGGTGAGTCCCTGCCGAAATTTATTCAAAGAATAATACTGTATTGCTGTTCAGCGCAACGACGCGGACGATATTCGTTGGCGTGTGAACTGCTACGTCTTCTCGCCAGTATGCAGCGATGCTTCTCCGGTGATCTACTCAAAGCGTCGAAGGAATCGCAGAAAGGTTTATGTGAACAGGAACTGACGGACTTCCACATCTGGCATGAAGAATGTCAGCCATCCTCGACGAGGATTATTCCGTGACGTGTTGTTGGGTTCTTGTGATCAGTACATGCCTAGAAGCTTTCTAAATGCCTGTGTTATTATTGTCACGTTCGGGTACAGTGGATCACTGCCACAGCTTATGTGAACTATTTATTATCACACCTATTTATTATTAATGAAGTGATTATAAATGTGTTTTCACATATGGATCTAAGACGCAAAACACGGAACGACGCATTTTTGTAAAATTTACTCAAATTTACCCTCTGCTTCAGAAAACCAGAAAAGCGTCGAGTGCAGACCACACACCACAAGTGACGACAGCCTCCAAGTAAATCTGGTAACTAGTGATTCATAGTGATAGCTGATAGTTGGTAAATGAGAGTTGTAATTAGTGACAACTGATAGAATACAACTGCAACAGGCTAATCATTTCATTGGCTACACTTTGTAGAGGCCGTCGTCGCTTGTGGTGTGTGGTCTGCACTCGACTCATTCAGGTTTTCGAAACAAAGTACAGTGCGTCTCCTAATGATACAGCCAGCCAAGCCAACTTTGGCTTGGCTACTCTTTCCACGGAAAAAATGTCCCGGTTTTTGTCAAGGTTTCTTTCCAAAAACACTGCCATTTTCACTTTCCGCTTAAGAGCGAACTTGGAAGTTCTTCACTACTTACCAAGCACTATGCAGTAGGAGATTAAGTTCGAAAGAGGCCTCTAATTACGAGCACGGCTTGATGAAATTGGGTGTTATTTTCATAATTCCGCATTAATCTTGATCAAAAAGCAAAGAGGAGCTTTCAGAGCCCTTTCCAGCTTTATTTCCTACGGCATGCAAGAAGAAATTGTTCATCATTTCGTAGCTTTGATTAACTTCCGCGCAATGTGACCACTGGCGCTTACTCTTTCTTTTTTTTCTGCGACCATTTGCCCTTTTTGGGAATCCAACAACTGCTTTCCTTTCGTGATGACCTAGAAAAGAGAAATTGATGACTACCATCAAATTTCATCAAGCAAAAATGAAATACAACGAAAAAACACGGGGTGGCTGTATCATTTGGAGACGTTGGAAAAGCGACCCTATCTGGAAAAATTAGAATAAAAACGAATTTTGTATTGATTTTCGAATTCGCGACCAAATTTGACACAGTTTTCCTGTTGGACATTTTTCCAGAAACTTTGTGGAATTCGAGATTTTGAACAATTTCTAGGTGGCTGTATAATTAGACGCAGTGTATATGTAATTTGTAAATAATACAGTTCTGTTGGGGCGAGAAGTACGCCTTAAATCATCAAGAAGTCGCAGTCACATCTAGTCCATCTCCTTTTCGTTTTGTGCCATGTACATAGTTGAGTGGCATCGATCAACTGAGGGGATTTAATAATGGCGCAGTAACCTCACCTACTCCCCTTTTTTCTCGAAGTATAAGCATGTTTTAGAGAGCTTCTTCAGACCTTTTAGACCGTTGTGTCATTAGGTCACGGCGATGTATTAGGTTGTCTCAAAAGTTCGTGCGTATTTTTTGGATCTCATGCCACAAGCTCCTTCAACAAATTCTAAATGTGTTCACGTAGGCTGTGGATAGGGCACACTGTGTAGTAAGCTTATACCCGAATCTGCCCACCATAGTCGCCTTCTTCGAGTTCAAAGTGAGAAAAGAAAAGAGCTATGTTTTTCGCGCTCTGACTCAAGAAGCTCTACTGAGCCACAAACCGATTGAAGCCGGAAGTAACATCTGCTTCGCGATACATCTCCTCGTCTTGCCAGCATGAGGTATCAGAATGGATGGATCTTCCTTGCTTAGGAGACTACAGCCTGCGAGAAAAACTCTCTTCCGGGAAGGCCATCGGTATCGGATGGGCAGGCTGCGCTCTCTCGAAAGCCGATCTTCATCTACAACCTGTGGTCACCTGCTATGTGGCCACCACACCCTGGTGTTTCAGATGCACAATTCGTAGAGGTTCTCGCTCCTTCGTAAATGGTTGAAGCCTCACCAAAGATTCCCTCATGAGTTGATCACTGATGACAGGAGTGCGGCACGACTCCGTCTATAATTTGTTCCTACTCCACCCGTACGCCCTGGTTGAACAAAGCCACTACTGCAGTTGAGAAGCTCAGGTTTCCATGACAACCACACCTAGAATCCTCAGGGACTGGATCGAACAGAAGAGGGTGAAAAGTGAAGAAATTCACCACAAGGTCGTGCTCCACCTTTTTGGGACGTATATCTCCTTCGCTGCAATTGTGAAGTCAATTAAGTCTAAGTGATCGATAGCAGGGAGTCACCTGAAACTCCACCAACTCTTCCCTCAAAACTCGAAAAGTGTGTCCGCTCCACGACAACGGAGGCCACGTGTTTAAAAAATGGCGCGACTGTAGACCAAGACATCGAAGCTTATCTGAAAAGTTCTACCACATCCAACGTGCAGCGGTGATCAGCCTTCTTCCGAATGACGTCTACTCTTCTAGGCCAAGTTGGTAGAACTAACGCGATTGCGGTTAAGGAAAATTTTCCCGCCTACAAGTTCGTTTCATCAGTGATTGCTCAATTTGCCTTCGAATAAAGAACCGGTACTATATTATGGAGCCGTCATTGTAGGAAACGGGTCAGGATCACGGCCAACCATTGTCAAAGGATATAAAGGATAAAGGATAAAGCATTTGCCGTTGATCAATCCCTTTTTGGGATGCGGCACGCATTCTACTTCCATTTGTACATTCGTAGTGGCGTTTGAATGTGGCCTACAATGACTTGCGGGGCCAGCCGATGTACAAGTCAGTGTTTTTATCCTCCCAGACAAGTCTGGTACCAATTAACCGACCCCGGAGGGATGGAAGGCTTGGTTGGCCCGGGCGACTCACGACCCAGGATTGATCCCGGACCGCTCGCGTGGTAAAAACCACTGGTGCCCTCGTATTGTATTAGTATTGAATATAACTCGCAATGTATTTTCAAGAGGGTAGCAGTATTTTATCAGAGTTACAGTTTAGAAAGACGATCAATATGTATGCATTTAGATCTCTAAGACTGTAAAAAACTACATTTTACACAAATTTCGAAAATTTTAGAATAGATTCCAGTTTTATTGCGATGCACAATCTCCAACCCTTTCCACTCGCTCCTCCTTGCTATTATTAAGATAACATTTCGAATAGACAACTTTAGTATCAGCAAGATCCAGGAAGTGGGGTAGGGGCAGGGGATGAAGGT